AAAAACAAAGTATACTGATTGATAACTGTACAGTGGAGGAAATTTGAAAATAGCATGCTCCGGACCAGAGAGAGTACAGTGAGTAAGGCACTTGCCTTACATGTGGCTTACCTTGGTTCAATTCCTGGTATCTTTTATGGTCCCCTGATCAGTAAGTCTTGAGCATTGCCAGATATTGCCCTCCCTCACCCCAAAGAAGGAAAGAAACATGTTAAATAAAGTAAATCAGACTTGATCCCATCTATATGAAATGCAAATAATTGTCAAATCTGTGAGGAAAAAAAATACAGTTTGAAAATACATAAAGAAAATACACTAAGGTGGACTTCAGTATTGGGAAGTGTGAGTTGAGATGGAAAATGTTATGTTTACAGAAAAAATTGAATTAGGGAGTAATTTTTTTTTTTTTTTTGCATTTTAACTTTACACTTGTGAGATTTGATGAGGGAAGGGGTACCATTATCATTTCCTTAGAATAAAAATGCATTAGATTAGATGTTCATTGTAAATTGTGTGTTTGTAGAAAGAGCTTTGATAATGTCTGTATCTGAAAGATGGATATGTTTTGTCTGAACTGGTTTGTTATGAGGCTTCACATGGAAGAGAAAACATTTAATAGGAAAAGAACTGTTATTAATCACTCTGACTGAATCTAATTCTCTTAAAATAACTAAGTATGTAACTATGCCTAGGATGGGTTTACTGGTCTGCACACCACATACCCCTCCTTCTTGCCTCCTCCCCAGTCTATCATCCAAAATTATGATACGTATTTTTTATGTTGTGCTTAGAAGTTTTTTAAAAGGAAAATCAAATTTCAGTGTCTATCCAATTATTTAAAAATTTAAATTTTTTAAATTATTTAAAATTTTAAATTATTTAATTTTAAATTATTTTTATATAAATATAAATAATAAATTAAATTATTTAAATTAAATTTTAAATTATTTAAAAATTTAAAAATTTAAAAATAGTACTTTTATTTTTTTTTTTTTTTATTTTTTTTTTTTTTAATTTATTTATTGAATCACTGTGGGAAAGGTTACAAAGCTTTCAGGTTTATGTCTCAGTCATGCAAATATCAAACACATTTCCCTTTACCAATACTTATTTTTTACCATGAAGAACCCCAATAAAACCCCACCCCCCACCCCTCCCCGTCCCTGTGAAGCAGATGAATTCTAGTTAACACTCTATCTGCTTTGATTAGATTCATTGTTTCAATAAAAGATTCACCACTATTATTTAGAGTTTACCCCCCCCCCAAATCAGACATGCTGAAAAAGCATTGTGAAGTGATTTGCTTTCTACGGCTGGGTTCAAGAATTAAATGTTGGTTTTGGATTTCTGCTCTTTTACCTATTGACCCTGGAAGTATTTCTACTGAAAGTCAGATAGTTAAGAAATTGGTTTCTGTGTTCTGGAGTCCTGGCCATGCTGGAGAGCCGCTCGCGGGGGGCAACCGGTGGCCTCGGTAGGGCGTGAAGGGCGGACCGAAACGCCCCCCTTCCCATGAGGTTTTAGTCGCCCCCACACTCCCGGCTCATACCTGCTGTCCACAAGGCTCCCATGTGGCCGCCATCTTTCTTTCCAGAGAGGAGAGGGCGAATGGGGCAACACCCTTTCCCCTCCGGCAGACTTGATGGCCTGGATCAATGCAGAGTCCGTTCACTTTTCTGCTCCAAGCTGCTGGGTTCTGCATTAAGTCCTTGTGCTTCTGGGGCCGTGGCCATGCTGGAGAGCCGCTCGTGGGGGGCAACTGGTGACCTCGGTAGGGCGTGAAGGACGGACCAGAACGCCCCCCCCCTTCCCATGAGGTTTTAGTCGCCCCCACACCCCCGGCTCATACCTGCTGTCCACAAGGCTCCCATGTGGCCGCCATCTTTCTTTCCAGAGGGAGGAGGGCGGAAGGGAGCAACACCCTTTCCCCTCTGGGCAGAAATGATTGCCTGGATTAACGCATAGTCCTTTCACTTTTCTGCTCCAAGCTGCTGGGTTCTGCATTAGGTCGTTGTGCTTCTGGGGCTGTGGCCGTGCTGGAGAGCCGCTCGTGGGGGCAACTGGTGGCCTCGGTAGGGCGTGAAGGGCGGACCGAAACGCCCCCCTTCCCATGAGGTTTTAGTCGCCCCCACACTCCCGGCTCATACCTGCTGTCCACAAGGCTCCCATGTGGCCGCCATCTTTCTTTCCAGAGAGGAGAGGGCGAATGGGGCAACACCCTTTCCCCTCCGGCAGACTTGATGGCCTGGATCAATGCATAGTCCGTTCACTTTTCTGCTCCAAGCTGCTGGGTTCTGCATTAAGCCCTTGTGCTTCTGGGGCTGTGGCCGTGCTGGAGAGTCGCTCGTGGGGGGCAACTGGTGACCTCGGTAGGGCGTGAAGGACGGACCAGAACGCCCCCCTTCCCATGAGGTTTTAGTCGCCCCCACACTCCCGGCTCATACCTGCTGTCCACAAGGCTCCCATGTGGCCGCCATCTTTCTTTCCAGAGAGGAGAGGGCGAATGGGGCAACACCCTTTCCCCTCCGGCAGACTTGATGGCCTGGATCAATGCAGAGTCCGTTCACTTTTCTGCTCCAAGCTGCTGGGTTCTGCATTAAGTCCTTGTGCTTCTGGGGCCGTGGCTGTGCTGGAGAGCCGCTCGTGGGGGGCAACTGGTGACCTCGGTAGGGCGTGAAGGACGGACCAGAACGCCCCCCTTCCCATGAGGTTTTAGTTGCCCCCACACCCCCGGCTCATACCTGCTGTCCACAAGGCCCCCGTGTGGCTGCCATCTTTCTTTCCAGAGGGAGGAGGGCGGAAGGGAGCAACACCCTTTCCCCTCTGGGCAGAAATGATTGCCTGGATTAACGCATAGTCCTTTCACTTTTCTGCTCCAAGCTGCTGGGTTCTGCATTAAGCCCTTGTGCTTCTGGGGCTGTGGCCGTGCTGGAGAGCCGCTCGTGGGGGGCAACTGGTGACCTCGGTAGGGCGTGAAGGACGGACCAGAACGCCCCCCTTCCCATGAGGTTTTAGTCGCCCCCACACCCCCGGCTCATACCTGCTGTCCACAAGGCTCCCATGCGGCCGCCATCCTTCTTTCCAGAGAAGAGAGGGCGAATGGGGCAACACCCTTTTCCCCTCTGGGCAGAAATGATGGCCTGGGTTAACTCATCGTCCGTTCACTTTTCTGCTCTAAGCTGCTGGTTTCTGCATTAAGTCCTTGTGTTTCTGGGGCTGTGGCCATGCTCCAAACTTAACTCTGATTTTCAGGGAGAAAGATTGGGTGGTTTACTTCTCATTGATCACTTTGTATATAGAGAGATGTCGCGCGGCCGCGTAAGCGGCCGCGCGGTTTTGAGAAAAAGTCCTCGTTCCCGCATACTCGAGCTGTGTTTGTAGAGGCTTCCGGTCACCAGGGTTCCATCTGGGGGAGGCGGGATGCGGCGCCTACTCCATCTGGAACTTGCCGGTGCTCTCGGCTCTTTTTGGAACCTGTTTTTTCTTTTTTCTTTTCCTCCGGGATCCCACACCCTCCATGTGTTCCTTCTCTTATTCTGAACGTTTCAAAGATGGCGCTGGGGGGCGGGCTGTGGGCGTGACTTCCGGGATCAGAGGTTACCTGGGAGGTGTAGTAAAAATAGTACTTTTAATGTAGTGGTATTACTAACATTTAAGAGTCTGCCATACCTTGTGCTGTCTCAAAAATTCTGATTTTATAGAGTTTGGGTTAATTGATTCTGTAACTTGGGGCTAAGACTCCTATGTCCTTCACCCGTGCTTTAAGCAGTTGACAGTTGTAATCAGAAGTTTCATCGAGCCTTTATTGTAGAAATAGTAACTCATAATTGATTTTATGTAAGGCAGAAATGTTACCAGATACTTGGTGACCTCGTTTAGTGACTCCCCTTTGCTTCATACTTGCTGACTTTATCACGACTCTACTTGGTGAAATTCAAAAACTTAAAAATAAAAATAAATAGTAATAAAAAGGATCTTTTGTAAAGGGATCACGTGGTTTTACTTATTTTTGTAATCTCCAGTCTACAGTCTTAGAAGAAAAGGCCACACTTAATCTTCAGCTTTAACTTGTTTGACATAATGAAATTGAGAAATGGAGTTAATGAAATTGAGCCGTAAACCTTAACATTATTTCTTATTCTCCAATTTAAAACACTAATTAGCTTGTTTTGAACATTGATTTAAAAGATACTTTGTTTTAAAGATTGATTTAAAAAGATTTTTTTGTACTGCATAAGTAGGGGAAAAGGCGCAGTCTATAAAGGAAAAGTTTGTTATTCTCATTTTGTTTGTAATTCTCTGAGGAGGGAACTTTAATTTTATCAGACTTATTTACCTACTTATTTGGATTTTGTTTTAGGAATTACTCCTGTGCTCAGGGATCACTTCTGGTGCTACTCGGTAATCATTTGTGGTTCCCTGGGGATCATATTCTGGTGACAGGGATTGAACAGGTAAGACAAGCAAGGCAAGCATCTAGCCTCAGAATTGTCTTTCTCGTCCTACCTAACCATTCAAAAGTTCAGTAGGTACCGTTGGGGGACCAGAGAGATAGTATTGTAGGTAAGATGCTTGGCTTGCATGTGACCAACTCAGATTCAAACCCTGCCACCCCATATTTCACCTAAACTGCACCAGGAGTGATCCCTGAGCACAAAACCAGGAGAAAGTCCTTAGCACCTCTAGGTGTGGCCCAGTAACCAACACAAATATTGCTCCCTCTGGGATTCAGTGGTAGGGTGTTTTCCATGCACGTGTGAGGTTTAATCCTTGTGTGTATGTGTGCATAAACACACTTTTGCACAGTTTTTATAATTAAAGTGTTGGTAGCCCCTAAGTAAATAAGAAATAATTTTTAGAAGTCTTCAGGTTACAGCAATTGGATCTGAAAAATTAGATTTGCATTATTGTTGCTGTAAAGTTGAGTAATAAGTTATGGTATTAAGTAAATTTTTTGTTCTGAACCAAAAAACTCATATAGGACTCTTTCTTACTGTTAGGTGTAAAGATTTCTCTCAGTGTTACTGGAATTCATATTGGATGCTGCCCTCTGATGTTTGTGGAATGAACTGCTTTTGGGAAGCGGCTTTTAGGTAGGCATTTAATATGTAATTGGTAGATCAGTGTAGGTAAGAGTAGATAATACATTTTTGGATGTAACAGAATGCAAAAATGTGTTTTTTTAAACATAATTTAATAGTATATGAATAATTTATCTTCTAATAATCTTCTAATAATTTAATAGTATATGAATGATTTATCTTCTAATCGAATTTATCATTTCCTTTTTCTCCCTCTTGGAGAGCCCGGCAAGCTACCGAGAGTATTCAATATGCCAAACACAGTAACAACAAAGTCTCCAATGGAGACGTTACTGGGCCCGCTCGAGCAAATCGACGATCAACAGGAGGGCCTTTACCTTACCTTTTACCTTACCTTTTTTCTATGTTGTAGTTACCACTAATTTCTGCTATATGGATATATACAATCCTTTAGATGATATTTAAGATAGGAAGTGCTATTAGGAGAATTTATGATCTAATTTTAAGTTACAGTTTATAAAGTGATAAATACAAAAAAGTTATCCACTGACACATTACAGATACATATACAACATTTGTCTAGCTTAAAGTTGTATACTGAAAAAAGTGTTTAGTTAACTTGGGAAAACTGGGAAAACTTAAATTGGTTGTTAATAAAGAGACTGAATATTGGGGAATAGGAGGGTAAAGATAAGTATTCTGTGAAGGAGCAAATGACATGGCAACATTTGTTGATCTTTAAAGTTACTGAGTACTAGGAACCGAGAGATAGATAGTATAGGGGTTGGGACTTGCCACCAGGAATCACTTCGGAACAGTCAGGACTAAGCCCTAAACACCTCCTGATGTGTAATAAGAAGAGGAGGAAGTAAAATTGCTGAATAGTTTGACTTTGTTTACTTCTCTAGGTAATGGGGGTATTAGATTGATTTGTCCTCTCGACAGGGTCTGTTCCTGTCTATGAAACATATGTTGACAATAGGATAGCAGAGTCTATTTCTGAGATAGTAGCAGGGCAGTATGACAGAATAGTTTAGATGCCTTTCCCAGGAGTAAAGTTTTTTTAAGTCGCCTGTTTTACCTGTATCTTTTTGATTAATCTCTCTGTTAATTCTCCTTATTTTGTTGCCCAGACACAGTGTTAGCTTCAAAAACCAGAATCCGAGTTGTATTAACATTTTATTATCCTTCTGAAGCTTTCATTCTCTGACAGAATTTTCATACTAGTAAACCTGAGAATATAGTTGAGAGTGAAAAGTACAGTTGTGATGATGGGAGAAACAGGTGTGTTATCAGTTAGGATCATCTTAAGACCTCAAGGATGACTTCATGATTAATAGGAAATTGGGCAGGTTCAAGTGAAATGTTGTGAGGAACTGCATTTTAATATGTATTGGTGTATATATATATATATATATATATATAAAACATATATATAATTTATGTGTTCTCAGTACATTATGCATCTCATGAACCAACAAGGTAGGTTTACTTTCCGTGGAAAAGATTTTGGTGGTTAAGAATTATGTCAGTTCAGTCAGGATTACTTAAGACTCTAAGAAACAAATCTTCCTTCTTTTGTGTGAAAGGAGCTTCCAGGCAGTGCCCAGAGACCCACTGGCGATTCTTGACTAACTGGACTTGGTTCGCTGCAAGCGCCTGAGGATGACATATTGCTCAGAGCTCTGTGGTAGTGGGAAAATCCTGAGGCACACTGATGACGTTGGGGGCCTTCAGGACCACTCTAGGTAGTACTTGGGAATCTCTGAGACCTCACCAAGTGATGCTTGTGGGGGAACATAGAGTGCCAGGAATCATACCTAGCTCAAATGGCATGAAAATGTTGTAATATCGCCTGCCCCTCTAAATGAACCCTTTTAATGGCAAGTTTACCATTCAACTTGTTTATAATTTTAGAGAATTTCAACTTACCCTTTTTTTTCAGGGCAGGGTAGAGACTCATATCTGGCAGCATTCAGGGATTACTTCTGTCTCTGTGCTAAGGGATCTCTCCGGGTGGGCTCAGGGGACCATCTGAGGTGCTAGAGATTGAACTCAGGTCAACTGCATGCAAGGCAAAAGCCAACTCACTATTGTCTCTCCAGCCTCAATTTCCTTTTTCTTTTCTTTCTTCCTTTTCTTTGGTTTTGGGCCACACCTGGCTACGCTCAGGGGTTACTCCTGGCTCTGTACTCGGGAATTACTCCTGGCTCTGTACTCGGGAATTACTCCTGGCTCTGTACTCGGGAATTACTCCTGGCTCTGTACTCAGACTTACTCCAGTGGTGCTTGGGGGATCATGTGGGGTGCTTGGGGGATCATGTGGGATGCTGGGGATCGAACCCAGTATATTTTTCTTTCTTGTCAAAGTTTGCTAATGAATAGAGTATTGGTAAACATCACTTTTCTATTTGTGTCTTGTAATATAAATCTACTTTCAAAAGCAGGGTAAACCTGAAAATGTATACCATAATTTATAAAACCTGGTGTTTTACATTTTAAATAATGTTTATCTATGTAAAACCTTTATCATTAATAACTTTTCAACCTTCTAGACTGCCAGAATACCCTAGGGAACTAGAGAAGCAGTTTTTTATTTTCTGAAATCCTGGGAACTTCTGCTGATTCCTCTTTTTGTTTTAACTTCTCCAATTCATTATTTCTCTAATTTTCTGAAGTATTCCTTGCGGATAGACACACAATGTTATAAACACTTGTGTTTATTATAGTCCTGAATTTGTATATTACTAAAAATAAAATACAAAAGGCCAGGCACGGCGGCTCTCTCTCTCTGCTGCCCATGTTCGGTAGTCTTGAGCCACTTCCTCACCCCGGGGAGGTCGATGGCAGTGGGTAGGTGAAGGAAGGAATGAGGAGGGCCATGCTGGTTGGTGTCAGTTGCAGTTTATTTCATTCTCATCTCCATTCTTCTCTGATGCTCCTCCTGCTTCTTCTTTCCTCATGCTTCTTCATTCTCCTTCTCTATCCCACTTCATTCTCCTTCTCGCTCTGGAATCTCCAGTCCCCTCTTACAGCCTAGTTAAATCCCAAAGCATGAGGGGTTGGGGTAATAATTACATGTAGGTGCAGTCATACAATCAACAGAGATAAAGTCTTTCCCTCAGAGAAAGCTGCTTCTAGAACAGATTCTCATTCAGCAGGACGACCCACCCAAGAGCAGAATCTCATCCGTGTGTTTCTCCTCTCCTTGTCCAACAAATATAAACATTCGTAATATTAATCATTTTGTATGAACACAGTAAGAGATACATTAAGCTTATAGAGTTGCTCTCCAGGGGTCATCTTGATCTCAGACTACAGTGATCAGGCCAGATTAGTCTTTCCTATATCTAGCAGGGTTCCAGACTCATCGTTACTTTTGGATCATTTCAGCATTTGTCCATGACCATGCTTTCAACTTATAGTTGAATATCATGCCCTTTGGCCTGGCCCGTTTCGATGCCAGGGTAGCTCACCACTTGCCCTGGGTCATTCAATCCCTTGTCGGGATCCTGCTTTTGGGGTGCTACAAACTAAGGGCAACTGAGGCTTAAGTTGAGAAAGCAGATGCCCAGGAGTGAGTAATATTCAGAGTCAATTCAAGTTACAATATTAATCAAGCATATTAACTGTTTTCCTGTGTCTATACTGTATTGCTTTAAAGTAAACTATGCAAAAAATATAAGAAGAGGAGAAAGTCAATATTAACTTACAAGTTCAGTGTCCTTAGAAGGATATGATCTTACAAATTAACAGAATCTAATTAGGGGGAAAAGCTGATTAACTGATTGGGGAGGAGAGCACAGAGAAGAGGTTACAGATAAAGGAATGGGAGTGACTCTGGAGCACTGTTATGGTTGTAACCCAATAAAACTAAGCTCCCTGTAGCAAGGGAGAAAGGACAAACCAATGTTATCCTAAATTTCCCATCCTATTAAGTGAGATCTTTATTTTATAAATAATGTATTAGTAGCTGCATAGTCATTTATGTTCTGTTCTTTATGTGCCAGTGGGTTATTATTCAGGTTCAGAGTATTAACATATTCAAAAGGTCCAGAATGTCCAAGTGCAAGAGATGCTGTATACATATATATGTATGAGGCTGCTGCTCTGGATTAGAAATAGGGTCTGATATATAAAGCCAGGTGTTCTTAACTTTCAGCTAATTGTGACTTATTTTCCTCCAAGAAATTTGCATGTGACCCTGGGTATGTAAAGTAGGTGAAACTCAAACATTTACTGATAATAAATAATAAATTTAAAATAAAATTTTTGCTGCCCTTAACATTCAGATATATGGTGCCATATTGGAGTTGCAATCCTCAGTTTAGGGAACTTAAAATCAAGCCAATAACTTGTTTTTTGGTAAACTTCCCCAAAAAAGGCATGTTAGGGTTTGCCTAGTAGGTTTTACATCGTCTCAGAATTTAATTTTTGGTGGGATGGGAGAGGAATAGAGAGGAAGCTCAAGAACCACCCAAGGAGTATTCAGGGAATGTAGCCATCCTGGCAGCAAGTGATGGGGACTGATCCTGCCCGCAGCACCCAGTGTCTTGCTGTAGCTCTTGGGTTGGCTCTCTAGTACCCATCTCAGATTTTACCTCTAATTATTTGGTAAATGCCACTGAAGAATGTTATTGGGAGGAAACTTTTCTTATAAACAGATGGCTTAATTATGGTAAAGGTAAAGGTAAAGGCCCTCCCGTTGATCGTCGATTTGCTCGAGCGGGCCCAGTAACATCTCCATTGGAGACTTTGTTGTTACTGTGTTTGGCATATCCAATACTCTCGGTAGCTTGCCGGGCTCTCCGAGAGGGCTTAATTATGATTATATTATATATAAATATAATACCGAAATTTTTATGGATGAACTGAAATAGGTCCCCCCCCCCCAAATTATACACTGGTTAATGGAAGGGGATATAGGTGAAGAATTTTAGATGAAACAAGAACAAACAGTTACTTTTTGTAGCTGGAAGACAGGTAATTGGGATTTGTTTTTCATCTCCTGTATGTTTTTATTTTTGATTTTTAATTGAAAAGTTAAAGGAATAAAAACCCTCTAAATCAGTAGTCCTCTTTTTTTTCAGTTGGGGAGCTCCTTGGGACAATTAAGTCCTGATGCTTGAGTGCATAATAATTTCTTTCTTATGAGTCAGGAACAGTCCTAGTGATACACCGTTCTTGGGAAAAATAAAAAATTGGGGGCTGTGTGGTTCTTAATGTAGGAATTTGGTTTAGATGGGCTGGATGAGTAATATATTCAGTTTTTTATAATTTGACATTCCTTTTTTTGTTAAAAATGTCCCAAACGTCATTTTCAACCATTATCAAATAAATGTAAGCATGTTGTTCTTCACTGAAACTGTTGGAAAATGTGGTTTTCTTTTATTACTAGGTATAGTGTGAAAATGCAGCCTGTTGAGAGAATGCACCTAGCTGTGGTTGCCTGTGGTGAAAGGGTGGAAGAAACTTTAACCATGTTGAAGTCAGCTATCATATTCAGCCTCAGGCCTCTACAATTCCATATTTTTGCTGAGGATCAGCTACATGATAATTTTAAAAGCACGGTGAGTATTTTAAATTTAAGTCGAGACTGTATAGTTGATTATATGGTAAAATAGATTGCTATTTTTTTTTCGAGACAGGAAAAGAGTATATATTTTTATCTATATGTAATTTATAAAAATATTGAGACATTATTTGTGGCCCTCCATTTGTGCTGTTATGTCAAACATTGCAAGTATTAAAAATGGCTCCACCTGATAATTCAAATTGCCTTGTACCAGTCCCAGCTTGTGCCTGAAATTATACAGTGTTATTATTTACTGCCATGCTAGTGTTCTTCAGAGTATCTCAGTTTGAGCTAATAATTGACGAGCTAATAATTGACCTGGTCCCACAGCCAACTTGACAGACACAAAAGTTAGTGATAACCAGTAGGAACTTAGTCCAGAACAGTGACAGCTGGCTCTACCCTTTGTTGGCTGTGAGATGTAGACTTCTAAGCAACAGTTTCTTCACAAGGAGTTTGCTGACCATGGATCATAGAGTTTGCACGCTCTCTGCTTGGATTTCTCTAGAGCTGTTTCCCAGCTAGGGACCATATGACTGTCTGTACACCTCAGGTATTTCAAGGGAGCGCATGGGGAAAAATGACATAAGTGGTGGGGTTTCTTGGCATGAGACTAGGGAGCTCTTTGGTAGGACTAGGTGAGATTAGGGCACAGGAAGGAAACAAAGGTTGAAAAATGATGTTCTAGAGAACAGTACCAGAAAGTGAACAGATGTTGAGTGCTAAGTTAAGGAAGTTCCAGTTAGATGGAAAAAGAAATGTCTTTCTCACAGAATTCTCCAATCTAAGACTTCGAAGTGAAGTATAGAAAATGTCAGAAAACTAATAAAACAAACAAAAGCAATGATAATACAAAATAAGCATAAAATATGTAAGTATGTATAACTGTGAACAAAAGAAGCTCATGAAATATCCTTAGTGCCTCATAGTCTCCAGTTAAGGGGTACGGGAGAGCGGAGCAATTTCTTCTCCTGTGTCCAGGTTGTTATTTCTGTAACATCACTCCCAGGAGATGGAAACATGAAGGATCTTGAGGATGTGTATTAAATATATAGATATGAAGCCACGGTGCTTTCTCACCACCTGCTCTCGGTGTTATGGGGCCGCTTTCCTCACCCCTGACGGCCGATGGCAATTGGAGGACGAAGGAGGAAACAAGGACCAGACTGGTTAGTCATTAGTTGCAGTTTATTTCAATCTAGTCTCCCTCTGTCTTCTTCCAGTTTTACCCACTCCCTTATTCCTCCTCTTTGTGCCCACTCTCACAGCCTTAGTTGTAGAGCAAATCATGAAGGGTTGGGGGTAGCACTTACACATAGGTGTGGTTATATGATCAACAGATGTAAAATCTTTCCCTCAGGGGAAGCTTTTTCCAGGACAAATTCTTATCCAGCAAGGTGATCCGCCTAAGGGCAAAATACCATCTAAGGGTGCATTTGTCTTTTCCTTAGTCCAGTAACCATTTAAGCATTCATCTTAATTCTACTTGTTAACAATAGTCATTTTGTATGGACACAGAGAGATATATTAAGCTTATAGGGTGACTCTCCTTGGGTTAAGGATATGTTTACCTCCTAAACTCTTCTATGGTATTTTTGTTAAGGAGCTTGCAAGGTTTAACTGCTTGACATGTGTATTTTCAATCCTCACTAAACAGCTACGTATGGTGACAGGCGCTGAGGGCCCAGGGCCTGGGCACACGGGCCCCTGCGGCCGCCCGGAGGAAAGGGACTCGGGCTCACAGATACGTATATACACAAGCACCCACCCGGGAATGGGGGGCCCCCGTGCTGCCGGCGACAGGGTGGAGAGTCGGGGACCAGCCAGGGCGTGTCCACGAGCACGGCGGGAGCCATGGTCTCAACAATTTTAACACCAACAGAAAAAAATTATGAATAACAAAAATATACATCATTTGAATACAGTTATAATTTAAAAATAGAATAGTGCCAGGAATGCAGTGGAGTGGAAAAGTGCATTTTGCGCATACACGAAATGTTGCAGTCTCAGGACTGTCTCCTCACCACCACCCCCCCAAAAAATCTTAAATAAGTTACATAAGCTACTTACATTTTTATGCCATAGAGTGTGACCGCAATTTAGAAAATGATGACTCAACTTTTCTATTGAAGCAATAATTATAGGTACTATTTAAACTGAATTTAAAGCAATTTAATGTCTTAAAGTGCGTTCAGGATACTAAGGAGTAAATATTCATTGTTGATTTCAGATCTATTTTACTTTTTGAAATTATTTTAAAAATTGGTATTGAGATGTGTATTTAAGCAGTAGATGTTCTTTCTTATCAGGAATATTGTGTGTGTGTGTTTGTGTGTGTGTGTGTGTGTGTGTGTGTGTGTGTGTGTGGTTTACACCTGACTTTGTGCCCAGAGTTTATTCCTTGTGGCAGTTGGTAGACCACATGTGGTGACAGGTATCAAATTGTTGCTAACTGTGGGCAGGGCAAGTACCTTAATCCCTGTATTATCTCTGGCCTTAGGCACTTTTTTAAAAACTAGTTTTGTATTGATATGACTATGAATATAAATATTTTCTATTTAAATTGTGGTAATGTAATCAGAATTAAGATTTCTAAATGTTATTTCTTTTCTTTGTTTATGGATTGAAAGGATTATACATTTTTTTCTTTTACTTTTTATTGAATCACTGTGAGATAGACCCTTACAAAGCTGTTCATGATTAGTTTTCAATCAAATACAGTATTCCAATATCCATCCCTCCACCAGTGCACATTTCCCAGCACCAGTGTTCCCAGGTTTCCTCACATCACCCTCCACCCACCCCCTGCCTACCTCAATTTTTTTTTTTTTGCTTTTTGGGTCACACCCCATGATGCACAGGGGTGATTCCTGACTTTACACTCAGGAATTACTTCTGACAGTGCTCAGGGGACTATTTGGGATGTGGGAATCGAACCCGGATCAGCCACGTGAAAGGCAAACACCCTACCCTCTGTATTATTGCTCTAGCAACCTGCCTGCCTCTGTGGCAGGTGCTTTTCCTCTCTCTCTCTCTCTCTCCCCCTCCCTCCCTCCCTCCCTCCCTCCCCCCCCCCCCCCCCCATCCCCACTTCCAGGCTGAAAAAGATTAGGGCAGCGAAAGCCATTTTTAAATAATCAAGGGATATGGAGTGATAGCACAGCGGGTAGGGTGTTTGCCTTGCACACAGCCGACCCGACCAACCTGGGTTCTATTCCTCTGCCCCTCTTGGAGAGCCTGGCAAGCTACTGAGAGTATTTCGCCCGCACAGCAGAGCCTGGCAAGCTACCCGTGATGTATTCGATATGCCAAACACAATAATAACAAGTCTCACAATAGAGACGTTACTGGGCCCTCTCGAGCAAATTGATGAACAACAGGAAGATAGTGATACAGTGATATGTATATCAGGAAGAAATCACATTCCTAAACATATGCATCCAATGAGGGGCCCATAAGTTACTTACAGCAACTGCTGATAGACTTCAAGAAGGACATTGGTAGCAACACAATAGTAGTTGGAGACTTCAGTGCCGCCTTATCACCTCTTGATAGATCAAGAAGACTAAAACTTAGCAAAATAGAATCATAATATACATTGGTTTTTTCATGAACAACTTGTAAGACTAAATTTTCTATTTTGCATTATAGCCTTATAACTTGCACTGTGTTTTATGACTTAATGGTGGAGTCTTTCTTAAATGGTACTTGAATTTTATGACTTTTTAAAAGAAAACAGATGGTGAGAAGTATCTGAACTTATTTTTATGTTATAATTAGGTACAATGTAAAATACACGCTTCTTAATTTTTATCTTTTATGCTTGTAATTTCACGGAATAAATTAAAATGAAACAATTCTAAACTGAGTTTCTATTTTTAAAAAATGTTTTTCAGCTTGACAGCTGGTCATTTCTACATGCGTTTAATTATTCATTATACCCAATAACTTTTCCAAGTGAGAATGCAGCAGAATGGAAAAAGCTCTTTAAGCCATGTGCTTCCCAGAGATTGTTTTTGCCGGTAAGTTTTATTCCTTGGTGTTTTCGTGTCCTTTTTTTCACTCAAGTCTTGCTTTTACATACATATTTAATTAAATAGACATACAGATACATATGAATTTTCTTTTGGATATTAGGGAAATGATTTATCATAGAACACCTAGAAGCTGTCATAAACTATATGTTGAAATGAGACAATAGAAGCAATTTCCGATGAACTGATGTAAGCATGTGCTGAGCTGGGTCTCTACCAGTCTGCTACAGTCAGATATCCATGCTGTGAGGCATACAAAGGTTCTGGTGTCCCAGTGCTTGTCAGGTTATATTTGCACTACAGTATAGTCTGTCAGAGTGATATTCAACTCCCCCATTTGCCATTGAATACATTGTGCTGCACTGTATTATGGAGTGTAATGTGGTAGTAGTGGCTGTAATGAGGAATGTGGGTGATTGTGTCATGGGGGGCCATATCCATCAGTGCTTAGAAGCCGCACAGCTTGGTGGTTGGTGGATATGCTTAAGCTTATACTTAAGAATGTTGGGGGCTGGAGTGATAGCACAGTAGGTAGGGCATTTGCCTTGCACGTGGCTGACCTGGGTTCGATTCCCAGCATCCTATATGGTCCCCTGAGCACTGCCGAGAGTTATTCCTGAGTGCAGAGCTAGGAGTAACCCCTGTGCATTGCCGGTGTGACCCAAAAAGCAGTAAATAAATAAATTAAATAAATAAATAAATAAAAGAATGTGTGACAACTCCCAAAAGAAGAGGAATCATCAGTAGGTTCTGTGTTTAGAGGTGCTTGATTTTACTGTAGCATCTTGCAGTAGAGACTATTGCCAAGGTCCTTGTCTATAATATGTTATGAAATTCTATTGATTGATGCTCTAAAACTTCCCACACCTCCCACTGGGTATTTTTGAAAGATAAAACAGTAAAACAAACCAGAAAAGTGGGGAAAAAATGATAATAACTGACAAGTCTCTCCCCCAGGCATAATATTTTGTTGCTTTGCTCTAGAGTACCTGCAATGTAGAAATTGTTCTCTGTGGGTGAGAGATAAGTAAAGCGTTTGTTTCTTCTTGATGTTGCTTTGGGAAGTTTTGGGTCACAACCCATTCAGAAACTAGGGGCTTTATCCCTTGTGCACAGTACCGTTCAAAGAAGGATTGTGGACATGGTACAGATACTACAGAGGTGATAACTAAATCATTATTTGTTTGAGGAGTCAATTGATACGACTAACCATACTGTTCTGCTTTGCTAGGTGATGTTAGTGAAAATGAAGGCTTTATCAGATCTTAGGCTGGGGTAGATGTATTGTTGCCAGATGACTGGACATTTCTCAGGTGTAAGTTGTAAAAATAAATTACTTAGAAATTATGTTCTGAGTTGGGAGCACCTAGCTTCTAAGACGCTTTCTACTGAACTAAACATTATTGGATGGTACAGTGCCAATCAATAAAATTAATGGTTGAACTGTGGACTCCAGGGCTTTCATACTCTGGAGGAGAATGGACTTGCAACACTAGCATCTCCTTCATGCAGAAGTGACAAGGTTATTCAGAGGAAGAGGGATAAGCCTTTTTAAACTTGGGAGAAGGAAAGCACTCTACTAGCACATAACAGCCCTTGTTGGATGAGGCATGGGTTTCTGTGCTTGTATATATGGCAGACATACTTAGCATTCTTGATGAACTTGTAGAATTCACACCAGTATTTTCACACTAAGAAATAAAATGTTTGCATTCAAATAGAATCTGACTCTTTGTGCCCTGTGGTTAGCTTGTTGGGCTGGAGCATATGCTTTACATGCAGGAGACCAGAATTTGTTTTCTGATACTTCCTGGTCCCCAAGCACTGTGGGGAGACATCATGAAGAGTCAGGGGTGACTGGTGCTCCAGCTTGATGTGTGACCACTGCCTACTATGGTCAACAGAACAAGAAATAAAAAGAAGAAACTGGTTCTTTGGGCTTAGTTGCATATAAGAAAGAGAATCTGAAACATTTCTATTTTGTTACAATTTTTCCTTGTTGCTGACCTCAGTCTGAAGGTATTATTCACATAATAGTTGACTTCAACACTGAATGTTAGAAGCTCAAAAACTTTAATTACTTCTACCTTGAAAATATGGAGTAAAGGTAACCTCTAGATTCATAATCCTTTCACAGAAAAGCACCTAGGGTTTTTTTTGTTTGTTTGTTTGTTTGTTTTTTGTTTTTTGGGTCACACCCGGCAATGCTCAGGAGTTACTCCTGGCTCAGCACTCAGGAATTACTCCTGGTGGTGCTCGAGGGACCATATGAGATGCTGGGAATTGAACCGGGGTCGGCCGCGTGAAAGGCAAATGCCCTACCCGCTCCAGTCCCAAGCACTTAGTTCTGATGAAGAAGAAAACCTGATCAAGATGTATTGAGTTGTTATGGTACTTGAACATGAGATGCAGTCACTATATAAGTTTTGGATATTCTAAGAAAAAGAATATCCATGTCTTAATTACTTAGCTGTTCTATTAATTGTTGAGTACCTATTTGTGTATAAAAAGACTTTCTTTGCCCTGTTGGTGATACAAACCAGAGAAACCACATGGATGTCCATATAGCTCTTTGTAGTTTTGAGGGAAATGGATGTACATGTAATTCTAAAACATTACCAAAACTCAGCTCTAGTTATCAAATACTGCAGCAAAGCATTAGCTATAGATTTCATAGTTATTTGGATCAAATACTGCCTTCTTAGAAGTTCAAGACATCATATTAGCAATTTTCTTTGTTGTTCAGTTTCTGTAAGTTTAAATAACTTAAATTACAAGTATAAGTTTAAACATAATACTTAGCAGCTAATACACAAAATACTATTATAAATAATGATTTTATTTCTGCCTAAGCTATCTGAAATATTGCTCCTGTTTTCAATGGTCCACAGATATTAAAAGATTGAAAATTCTTAAGTGTATAGTATCATTATATATAAAAACTGTACATTAGCTTAATTAAATGTGACATGGAATTGAAACATGAGGTTGGAAAAATGCCAATATATTTGATGTTGGATTAGCACAAATCTTGTTTGCTTTGGACTACAAATGTTTGTTCCCTGGGGCTACTCCCAGCTTGAAGTAGCTTGAGGCTACTTCAGATGGTACTTTGGGAACTGTTGGGAACAATGTGGTGCTGGGAATCAAACCCAGGACCTCACACATGCAAGGCAATTGATTTTTCCCTGGGGAAAAATCTCTGTTTTGTTAAAAATATTAAAGAAAGCAGTATGGTATCTGCAAAGTGCTATAAAGTGAGCTACACCTGCATTTCTTACATCTTTATTTTGCTGTTACAAACTTTTATCTTTACGGAGGAATAGAGGTCTTGGGATTGTAACTGGAGCAAGATCTGCCAGCAGAAATGCAGGGGCAGTATCAGTTTCCAGTTGCAGACTACATTTATAATTAAAAAAAACGAAGTAGATTGCATAATTAAATAGCCATTTATTTATTTTAAAACAGGTCAGTTTACTCTTAAACTGGTATTCTAACACAGACATTTAATTCAGAGCATATGAACTCAAAGGTAGTTACTTAGCTATTTACTTAGTGGAATGTTTTCTGGTGGTCTCTCTGATGATAGACTCAGACTTTTTTTTTAGAGTTTGAATTTTTTAAAAGAAATTTATGCTCTTTATATATTAATTTTTTATTTTATTAGTGAAACACCATGAGGTACAGTTGTAGACTTAACAAACTTTCATGCTTGGGTTTCAGTTATACAATGATCGAGTACCCATCCCTCTATCAGTGCCCATTCTCCACCACCAATGAACCCAGTAGCCCTCTCAACCCCCCTATCCCATCCCCCCCACCCCGCCCCACGTCTGTGGAAGGGCATTCCCTTTGCTCTCTCTTTCCTTTAGAGTGTTGTGGTTTTCAATAGAGGTATATTGAGTGGTCATTGTGTTTGGTCTATAGTCTACTTTTAGCATGCATCTCGCATCCAGAGTGAATCCTCCAGACGCACTTTATTTGGTTTTCCCTTCTCTATCTTAGCTGCCTTTTCCCCCAGCATTTGCTGCCAGCTTCCAAGCTGTGGAGCAGACCTTCTGCTACTTATCTCAACTATTCTTAGGTGAACGTTCATCTCCCATTCTGTTACTTTGTATTCCCCAGATAAGTGCAGTCTTTCTATGTCTGTCCCTCTCTTTTTGACTCATTTCACTTAGCATGATACTTTCTATGTAGAACCACTTGTATGCAAATTTCATGACTTCATCTTTTCTACCAGCTGCATAGTATTCCATTGTGTAGATGTATCAAAGTTTCTTTAACCAGTCATCTATTCCTGGGCACTTGGGTTTATTCCAGATCTTGGCTATTGTGAACACTGCAGCAATGAACATACAAGTGCAGAGGTCACTTCTACTATACCTTTTTTCATCTCTGGAATATATTCCCAGGAGTGGTATTGCTGGGTCAAATGGGAGCTCAATTTCTAATTTTTTGAGAATCCATACTGTTTTCCAAAAGGGCTGAACCAGTCGGCATTCCCACCAGCAGTGATAAAGAGTCCCTTTCTCCCCACATCCGCGCCAACACGGGTTGCTTTTGTTCTTTTGGATGTGGGCCAGTCTCTGGTGTGAGGTGATATCTCATTGTTGTTTTGATCTGTATCTCCCTGGTGATTAGTGATGTAGAGAATTTTCTCATGTGTTTTTTAGCCATTCGTATTTCTTTGGAAAATTTTCTGTTCATTTCATGGCCCCATTTTTTGATGGGGTTGGATGTTTTCCTCTTGTAGAGTTCAACCAGTGCTTTGTATATCCTTGGTATCAATCCCTTATTGGATAGGTATTGGGTGAATATCCTTTTCCATTCTGTAGATTGTCTTTGTATTTTGGTCACTGTATCTTTTGTGGTGCAGAAGCTTCTTAGTTTAATACAGTCCCATTTGTTTAATCTCTGTTTCCACTTGATTGGTCAGTGACATGTCATCTTTGAAGATACCATTAGCCTCAATATCGTGGAGGGTTTTG